ACACACACACACACACACGCAGGCAGCCTCTTGCCATTACGCGTTTTTGCATTTGCATCGCATAAAAAACCAATCTCTTCACAGTTCTTTTGATGAGGATTGGTACTGATATTACCTAGACGCACAAAATCAGGTCCTCATTTCCAGGCCGTTCTGGGAAGAGGAGGCGTTGGTAACTGCGCCGTCGAGTAGATAGCTGGTATTCCTAGGAACGTTGATACTTGTCCTATGACCAGATGTCTTCATTTTATAAAAATTGGGTTGCAAATGACTTTCGCAGTTGTTTGGCTTTTTCCTTTACCTTAATTTATTAAAACGGTTGCTAACATCGTCCGCATAGTGATCATCAAGCGGTGCAGCACTAGCAGAAAGACTGGGAAGTTTTGCCTTCTACGTGGCTGAAAAGTGACTTAATTAAAGTAAGCATACACTTGAATGCTTTATTTTTTTGTGTATTATCGAGTTCCGTTCTCTGAAATAAAAGTGTTTGAACATTAGCTATTAATTGTGGTATGATTTGTGTAATTGTATAGCTTCAGAATTTGTTCAAACCTTGATTTCCCTCCCTTTTTTTGCGTCGAAAGCCGGCATATTTCGTGCAGTAATGATTTCATGAAATGCGAAAATAACGATTTCATGGGTCGGCGGGGGAATTGCTAATTCAGGAACCAGAAAAGCTGGAATTTTAGGGCAATATTCCCTGTCCAAATACAACTCAGAGGTTTCAAATTCAGCTTCCTGGTACATGTGGTTCTCGTGTACGGACACTTAAATTATTGGCGGAGAAAGTGCTCATTGAATAGCTTGAGCATTTTCAAAAAAAGACCGCTAAACGGAAACTGTTTAGTTCCGTCTATGCAAAATTTACGATGATTTACGGTACTGAGCGCGCAAGGTAGGTGTGAAGTCACAACCATTCATGCAGTTAATTATTTCAAGTTTAGTGCATAAACGCATGACCGCAGCGGACAAGCTTGGCGTGTTCTGGGTTCTTTTTTGCTCTCTTTTCGTGGCCAAAAAGGCATCCGTCACGATACTCACTAAAACTGTTCATCCGGCCATTGAGATGTAGTGTGTTATGCAATAAAAACGAAAATTTTATGTAGGACGAGGCCCGCAAGTGACAAAAATCATTTAATGATAATTTATTGACCAATTCACAGAATGAAATGTTTCTCAATTGCTGGCGCCCATACGCAATCCAGTTCGGTAGTTGTCTTATTCGCTGCGCCCAACCAGATGCAGTCTTCCTCTTCGTCATACAGCTCATCTGCTGGCCATTCGCAAGCCCACTGTTTCCACCACTCGCCTGCACAGTAGTCTTCTATATCGAACGCGGGCTAAAGAATAACATCTCGATTTGGCCACGGATGCTAGCAAAATGCAGTCATGCATTTTTTGAATCACCAAGATCGCGGCGAAGATCTGTTGCTAGTCATTATCACTGGGAAGCTGGATACTTATCACTGGTTGCTTACCCACCGGGGCTTTGTTTCTGAACCGCATTTCTCTACTGAGCACCTACAGATCGTACTACTTGGCCCTGAAGGTGACCGCATTTCTTATCTAAATTTACAATCGCTTGACAATTTCGGCTTCCCCGTCTACCCTGCTTGAAACATCCTATTTTGGTTTGGGCTTCTAAGGCCCGTCCAGTCTACCCTGTTACAGTAATTTGCCTTCGCGACGAGCACGGTTTTAGCTTGGAATGTCAGAAGCTGCCTGGTAAACGAAAAAACAATGAAAAACACCTGTCTGGCGCGCCGCTGCATCATGCATTTTTGTTAGCGCACATGGAACTTTTATCTACACCCAGTGCTACATACAAAGCTGAAAATGATTACAAGTTCCTTTGCAGTAGAGCAGAAGTTTCTTTGCATATCGTGTAAGGGTCAGGATGGTCTCCCAATGGCAAATGTAAGAGGATGTGTCATCACCAAAATCCGTTTTCTTGAATTCGGTGGTTAATGGATATGCTGATGTTACGAGCCGGTTGGACACTCCGATGGCCCCTAGATGTCACGAGAAGCAGCGTGCGTCTTTTGGGACAACCACAAACTTCCCCGTTTCCGACACCTCAGCTTTGTCTGGGCTTTATTTGTCACCTTGCGGACCAGCATCTGGGCTGGGGAAGTGTGGCTTCTCTGCGCTACATAAGTGAGCCATAGGTCGGAATAAAATAGGGAGAATTAGGTAGAATTTTGCACCCTCAAAAGTCCAAGTCCGCATTCTTCTTTGATTTTGATTTACAAAGTTAGCTTGCTATTGCGATCAAACGAGAACATGGAATTGCTATCTACAAAGATGAGCAAGAAGCTTCACTGATAATTGGTGAAAGTCACATATCAGAGTATTATCCGCGAGAAAGTAGATAACCACTCAGGCGATCTCCGAAGAGGTTGTATGCGATTTAGAAATCTGGCAGAGCTGCATTCAACGTGCATTCCAATAAAGGGATTGACATCTGATCCCACGCCAATTATTCGGATAGCCTGGCAATCACTGGTAAATTTAGCATGATTTAAGAGTCCCGCTAGCAGTACCTCCATCGTGGTTATCGTAAATGGAGCACTCAACAAGACACACATACATCCGCGCACGCATTACAAGTGCAGTCCAGTACAAACTGATAAGAATAAACTGGAGCTCACATCTGTGGCTTTTTTACCGGGTGGACGGATGGGTATTGGTTCCCATGGGTACTTTTTTCTTGGTCTCCACATGGTGCCTCGGACTGCATCTGTCGCCGTGAACAACGTCAAACAGGCAAACACCACTGAAACTTCTGGTGACAGTTTTGAAACTTAAATTTAGCAGCTTTGTCCACGCAATCACTGCGCGTTTGTGCGAGCGGCAGCACGACTGCTAAGGGCCGGTAATTTTGGAAAAATTACTTTTCAGAAAGAATGTAAGCTGCTGCAGGTTTCCGGTTGGGTACGGTAAAGAGAAACACTCTTCTCAGTGAATGATTGCTACTGTAACTAGCAGCAGACAGACATTCAACGTCCTTCATTCTATGAAAGAATTCATTGGTAGCGTGGTGTCAAAATCAAGCAAATCTCAAGCTCCAGGAGATGCCTAGAAACAGGATGTTTCAGTTGCATGCGTCAGCAGCAAATAAGGAAACAACTGTTTGCATTTTCGACGAATCATAAGAAAATAACTGTTTGCAGTGGCGAACTGAAAAATTCAGCCTAAGGCAGAAGACATTGGTACTTGCGGATATGCCAAGCAGACCAGCATGAAAACTGTATGCCGGCAAAACCGATGAATTTCGGAAAATTAAACTGCACGTGGCCAAGTAGCATGAACAAAAAGGGGTACAAATGCTATCCGGTTTGGGTCCTTCAAAAATAAATTTCGACCTTATTTTGTGTACGGAGCAAGCCGCAGCGTTCACACTTAAGTAAAACAATAGAAAAGCCCGTAGGATCTGGTTCGTTTTCTTTTCACCAGCAGCAGCACCAGCATCAGCACCAGCACCACCAACAGCAACAGCAAGCAGCAGCAGCATCAGCAGCACCAACAACACTACTAGCACCACCAGCAGCAGCCCATCAGCACCAGCACCACCAGTATCACACAGCACCAGCATCAACACCACCAACACCAACAGCAAACACCAACACCACCAGCACCAGCAGCACCGGCACCAGTAGCACCGGCACCAGCAGCATCGGCACCAGTAGCACCGGCACCAGCAGCATTGGCACCATCAGCACCAGCAGCACCAGCAAGCATCACCAGCACGAGCATGAGCACCACCAGTATTAGCACCAGCAGCACCGGCACCAGCAGCGTTAACACCACCAGCACCAATAAAAAGCACCAACACCAGCAGCGCCTGCACCAGTAGCAACCAGTAGCAGCAGTAGCAGCAACAGCGACAAATCTGCAAAGAGGGTTCCACATTTCGCAGCTTTTGCACAAGAAAAGCTTTTATTTCTCATTTGACTAAGAATGTTGTTGCATTTCAAGTGCTTTGTTGAGCATACAACTGATGAACATCAAGCACCGGTGATGCGTGATGGGAAACGACTGCTCATGTAGCATTCGAAGAGGCCAGTTTGCGTGCCAGTGCTACATGGAATGGCTTGTGCAGTTGCTCCTCGTGAAAAATTTCAGGAACAGATGCAGGCCAACTGCACCGTCGAGTTTGGTAATGTCCTAAAAAGAGTGCTCGTATTTCAAATACAGTTTGCATCGTGAAATCTTTTCTTGTACGTGACACCTAAGTTCAATCCTTCTATTCTACTATTCACACTGAGAACCGTTCGTTTCGCGAGCGTTTTTCTTGATGCGGCACAATACGCAGCGGTGGAAGGGCAAATATGCCCGCAGATGAGCTACGAGAACTTTGAGACCGGCCACAAATGAATGCTTGACGTACGTGAAATCCTGTAAATTCTGGACATTTGCATATGAAGCGTCATATTTTAGCAACAACAAAAACAACGTAAAACAGCCGTCTTCGAACGGACAACTTGTCCCAAAGCGGCTGCAACCAGGACTGGAGCAATTTATTCCATTTGAATGCAGCTGAAAATCTACATAATTGAAAGAATATGCAAGAGAAATGCAAGGATCCCAGGCAAATCAACCGCAGGCTGGATCGCATCAGTCTTGCCAATGCGACCACTTTAGTCTTTACACTAAAGTTGAAGCAACCAGGTCGTTAACTATATGGTACACTTCGGCGTAAATCCTCGTATACTTTGCATGAAGGCAAATGAACAGTTTTTGTTTAACAGTCGTTTTTATGTGTTTTTGCATATGTGCAAACGCAAAAACTCATATTGGCAAGAAGCTGTATTGTCCATTCTCGAAACGTTAAAATTTTGGCAGCGCTTCACTTCAGGCATCGGCAGCGACGACGAAAAGTTGCTGAAGAAGGTGACTGCTTTGGTGATGTTAACGCTGGAGCCACGTGTTTGTTGTCGACTGCATTGTTTGCTCCGTTTTATACTGCGTGTCAGCCGAAATCACTGTCAGCGAATGGATCAACAATGTGTGTGTCTGTGCGTTCGCACTTTTTGTCATCCGCTTTCAACTCGAGAACCAGAAAAGCTACAAGGCTGAAAATTCCGGAGTATGTGCCTACACCATGTACGATTCTTTTATTTCAATATCATCGCCCGCATATGTCTGAGTTCCACTTGCGACCACTTTAAAGAAATAGGCAGGCGGGAAAGCGGGCTCAGGACCAGAGAAGATAGAAGGCTAAAACTTTGCAGGGATATTCTCTGTGCATGCGTAAGCTAAAGATTTCAGATTCAGCCTTCAGGTGCACGTGATGCTCATGACGGGCACGTGGAATTCCTGGCGGGAAAATGGCCAAAAAAACTAGAGGACAAAACCTTAGGGATAATGCTTCTCACTCATGTCCAACCACAGAATTTCAAACCCAGCTCCTTAGGACAACTCGGGATTCACATGCTGGCACCTGGAGGTTTTGGCAGGAAAACTGCTAACTCGGGAACGGAAAAAGTTGAAATTTTAATGGAATGTTCCCTACTCATATGCGATTAAAAGATTTCAGGTTCAACTCTTCTAGTGTTATCTCTTCCGTGCACCAGCAAATTCCAGTTTGTTGGGTTACTCAAGTCAGCATCTGCAACTGACACGCCACATAGTTAACTTCCTAAACTTCGAGGGCCAGTATGTCACAAACTCTAGCTACTGTGATTCCTTGTGATTTTGTTACAGCACTGAATAGTGCAAAAACATGTGATTGTGACGGTCCGCCTGATGCGCATGAGCCTGGGTTTTTAGTTCTGCCCGATCGTATTCTTATTTTTGGGATTTTGTCTTTCTCGTTTTGTGTAGTCTATGTTTATTTTGGTCGCATTTTAAATTTTGTGAAAAAAAGCTGTGCTCAGCGTGTAAGGGCATCCCAGTAACAATACTAAAGTTGGATACTAGTACTAATTATTCAGGAGGTCTTGGTTTTTTTGTGTTATTTGAGGCCTTGTGATTCAGTCAAATGGAAACATGTTCACGTCATAGTGCTTTTTCCAAAAAGCGCAAAAAACGGTTGAGGAAGAAAAGTGTAAGAGTGAAATTCATCAAAAAAAAAAACAAAATCTATGTCTAATTGAGGCGGAGGAATTCTCTGTGTCATTCACTATCCTTTGACTCGGATTTCTTTTTTTCGCAGTTTTGTTTTTTTAAATCAGAGGAGAAGAAGTCAGTATTTGTCTAATAGCTAAAAGCGAAATTTCTGATGAGTCAAATTGCGTCACGGAGCCAATTAAGGCTTATTCTTTTGCGTTCTTTTTTTTTGAGCTTGCCAGCCTTACAAGCACTAACAACAACAATTTCATCAAGTTTTTGGCAAAAATGACTCAGTTTTTTTTTTTT